GTTGGGCAGTTGGTAGTCATTATTTATGCAGTGAGCTAAAATGTGCTCACTTCTTTGCAACGCAGATGAACTGTGACACAGCCTCTTCCTTGAGGAAGAGCTGATCTCATGTTATACATTACTTTGTCATGTATAAGATAAGTGAACGAGGAATGTGTGTGTGGGGTATGGGGAATGAAAGAAACAAGGGCTGCTTATTAGTGATTCCTGTTATCAAGTGTCCTTGGTGCAATGCCAGATAGAAATAAGGCAGCTCCTAGCCCTGAAGACTTTATGCAATTACATGGTCACAGCTGAAGATGACGTTTCCTGCTGGGGTAGTTATTGTGACTGCAGGCCAGAACAGTCATTTAAAAATACAGCATGCAGAACAGGAATGATTGGAAATCCTGGAGCAGGGGTTGGTATGAATTGGGCAGAGGTGAGAGAAGGATCTTTTTATTACATGTTCTTTTGTGTCAGCTTTCATCTAGAAAGTTCCTGAATACATGAACAGCTGTGTCCTTTAAATGACTGACTTTTTAAATGATATGCAGACCCTAGGATGTAAACGGGGCAGTTTTTTTGCCTAATGCTCAGCAAACACATGTGTTGCTGGTCTGTAGAAATTCCATTTCAGGCTGAAATTTTCTGCTGGTTACAATAGCCCGAAGCATGCTAGACCCACCCACAAGTCTGAGGCTGCTCATGCAGTATGAGTTACAGCGATCCCATTATGTAGGTATATAATACAGTCTATTTGGAGTCCAGAGCAGGCTGACTAAAGTTTGAATTTGTTAAATAGCTGCAACGTCCCCACCAGGTGAGACTGATGTTTTGAGTCCCGGGCCCAGTCTTGCCTCCTCCACTGAACTGGCAATGTACATAACGTTGCCTGGTGTTCCTGGTGTGCTGCGCAGAGTCGTATTCTGTCCTCATTTATCACGGTTCAAGTCACTGCAGCGTGGTGACATGAAGGGGATGCTGACACTGCAGAAAGGAATCCTCTCTGCCCTGCTTCTACAGAGTTGCAGGACTGTACCGCCTAGATAACTGATTCACTGGTTCATAATTCAATTCAATTATTTTCCGCGTTCCTATGCTTGTACTTGAACCGGTCTTCCTGAGATAATTTCTCTCTCAATTAAGTAATTTGGCAAATTGCCCATCCTCTCAATATGTTCCTGTTCTTGAAGCAGGGCTTTCTGGGATGCTGACAGCCTTGTGACTGGATTGTTTAATGCTTCCTTTGTGCCACGTTAACTAGCATGCCGAAAGCCGTGTGCTTTTAATGCTTAACAGCCATGTGCAGTGACCCCAGGCAAAGTAATGAGAAATGGGTATAGACATGCAAGACTAATGATCAGAATGCAGTGCATAAGGGTGAACTTTGCACATTTTCTATAGGGATGCTGAGCAAGAGATCTGTCTGGTTTGAAATGTCTCTGGATGCCTTCCACCTGCGACCTTGACACCTTGCTCTGGTGGAAGGAAGGGATTTTACAGTGTGTAGTACTTTCACAGTTACTTAGTAGCCTTCTCAGTTTGAAGGTACAAATGGATGTTCCCATCCTTTGGTTGGAGCAGTGGTTCTCAACTTTGTTAGGCTCAGGGCACCCCTCCTTAGACTCAGTGCGCTGCTTGGAAAATGCCAGCTTTTAGTGTTCACTCATTTTTTGACTACGAAAAAATATGGCAATTTTTCTATTGTAAAGAACACCGAAAGACCACAATAGGTCAGAATTTTTTAACATTGTGGATTCCTATTTGAAATCATTGGATTATCTTGTGAATCATGTTTGCACACCTAACTGCTAATATTGCATTGCGTCCCATGGCACCCCTGAAAGGATCTCAAGACACCCCAAGGTGCCACAGCACCATGGTTGACAGTCACTGGCTTAGAAGAAATGCAGAAAAGTGCCCTCCATTCCATTAATCTCTGAAAATAGGGGAAATAGCTGCTGATGGCTAACTGTTTAATAAATACTTGTTTCTGTTAACTTGGCCTGTCATTTTTTTAAATCTTTTTCCTTCCCAGAAATTGGGTATTAGGAAAACGGAACCCACGACCTTGACAGAGGAAGAGGTGCACAAATTCGTGAGACTGGATATTGATCCGACTACCATTACATGGCAAAGAGGTACCAGAGCAAGATGAATGGATTTGATTGGGAAACATGAAAAGATTGGAAAGTGGGGTGGAGGGGTCTGAGTCTGCATGATGGGGTGCTTTAGAGATGGAAGTGAGGCCCAGCCGTTGCTGGTATAAAGACTTGAGCTCCGGTCAGACTTAGCTTATCAGAGCATGTTCACATTTCTGATTTTGCCAGCAGGTCGATGCACGAACAATAGATTGGCAGCCCGTGGTTAGCTGCCCCATTTTCCTCCCATGCAGAAAAGAGGGGGGAGTACCCAGTGCACCATTATGAGGCTGGTTTTAGTTTACTGTCCTCATGCAGACTTCTGTATGAGCAAGTCATTTAGCTCCAGGTTTTCAAAGGCATTTAGCCCACATCTGGCTGCAGGTAGTCTCTCACAGGATTTGCAGAAATGCCTGAGTGGGTGTGTAAAACTTAATGGATTTCAGTGGGCCTGAGAGTTGATGTGGTTGCTATCATTTCTGTACTGCAGTATGATGCAGCATTGAACTTCATTCCTTATCAGCCAGTGGGCTAAATGCTCGGCTGTCATAAATAACTGACTTCCATGGAGCTATGAAGACTCATAGCAGCTGAGCTTTCCTTTCTCAAGATGTTTTAATTTATTTGTCAGGCACACTGTGGAAGCTAATCCAGTCATCCTGTTAACAGCTTTTTTTTAAACCCTTTTCAGGGAGTGATTCCAGCATTATTGTAGTTTGGTTCCATTACAAATGCTTGGAAATAATGACATTTGATTAATTAAAACAGTATTTTAATGTGAGAAACAACATTGTCTGGCTTTTAACTTTCCTTAGAATAACTTTAAACAGATGGCTCTATTAGTTAGAATTTATTTACTTACTGCGAGAAATGTTTCAGGTATTGATATGCTGAGTAACTCTTATTAAACCAAGCTTAAACTTCTGCATATAGCATTTCATTAAGAAAAGAATTTTTCTGTTTTGCATTTGAATATTTGTAGATCAAATCAGAGTACACAAAAATTGAACGTGCATTTTCTTTAACAAACAAAAATGCTCAATCTTTAAAATGCTAATATATTACATGCATGTTTCTAGTGCTTCCCATTTTGTAGCCTAAATTTCTGAAAATGAAAGTGTTGTGCTTTGTTTCCTTAATTAAGCGTGGTCTAAACCCAGGCAAGTTACAGTGCTTTAACTACCCTTATGTAGTCAGACAGGGTTACATGCATGTGAAAATATTTCGTTTCCACCTGGGAATAAGCCAAATCAGTGTAACTGCATCTACACTTCAGTGCAACTATTTTGGTTAAAAAAAAACAGCATCATCCCCCTCTCTCAGATGATTGTACAAAATCTGCATGGGGAGCAGGCTTTACTTCCTAATAGTAGTGGAATTTCAGATTTTGTTGCTGGTTTTGTAATATAGAGTTTCACCCATTGCAATGCATTCTCCATCTCTCTGGCAGCCTCAAGGGCCTCTAGCCCAGTGGTTCCCAAATTGTGGGCCGCGATCCCAAATGGCGCTGCACCACCAGTCGATGGGGTCGCGGAGGTGCAGGGCTGTGGGTTGGGAGCGAAGGGCCATGCTAAGGAAAAGTTTGGGAAGCACTGCTCTAGTCACTCCACCTGTCCAGCCTCCAGCTCCCGGTCAATATGTCTTTTCCCTGATCAAGACTTCCCCGGACCAAGGGAAAAACAACACCAAGTAGAATACGGGATGAACATGGTAGGAATAATCGCCTTCCTACTATTGCCGTAGAATTGGTCTATGACCAATTAAAAAAATTAGACGTATACAGGTCGGCGGGACCAGATGATCTTTATCTGAGAGTACTGAAGGAGCTGGCCGAAGCCACTGCAGAACCCCTGATGAAACTCTTCCACAACTTCTGGCGCTCTGGAGAAGTCCCTGAGGACTGGAAGAGGGCCAGTGTTGTAGGCTGATCAGCCTAACATGGGCGACTGGTGCCTCCTGAGTATGGGGGGACATTTGCCCCCCCAGCAGCAGTCAGCAACCGGGGGGGGTCCCCCCCACGGCCGATCGTGCCAATTGGGAGGGGGAAGCTCCCCCACAGCTGATCACACCGACCCAGAAGTGCACTTCCGGGTGTGCTGTGGCATTTCCAGGTCAGTGCGATTGGCTGTGGGGCAACCCCCCCGCCCCCTGATTGGCCAGGGTGGGACTGCGGGGATTGCTTCTCCTGGTGCCCCCACTCCCTGGCCAGTGCTCTTGGGCAGGGGGAGGGGGCACCAGCACTCTCACCTGCCTGTTGCCTAAGCAGGGAATGCTGGCTGTCAGGGGGTGCACCAGTGCTCCCAGGGGGGTGCACGTGCACCCCTGTGCACCCCTACGCATTGCCACTACAGCCTGACTTCCATCCTAGGGAAATCCTAGAAAAGTTCATCAAGGAGTCAGTCCGCGGTAAGCTTGCAGAAGGTAAGATTCTGAATGCCAGCCAGCATGGCTTCATCGCAGGCAGGTCTTGCCTTGCCAACCTCATCTCCTTCTATGACCAGGTAACTCACCACCTGGACACAAGAGAGTAGGGTGACATGGTATACCTAGACTTCTAAAAGGCCTTTGATCTAGTATCCCACGATGTTGTCGCAAGAAAATTGGAGGATTGTGGGCTTAACTCTGAGAAAGTCAGGTGGGTGAGAATCTGGCTGTAGGACACAACCCAGAGAGTCGTAGTGAATGGATCCTTGTCATCCTGGCGAGAAGTAGGCAGCAGTGTCCCGCAGGGGTCGGTGCTTGGTCCAGTACTTTTCAACATCTTTATTAAAGATTTGGATGTGGGGGTGAAGTGCTCATTGGCCAAGTTCACGGACGACACCAAGTTATGGGGAAGCATGGTCATGCGTGAAGATAGGCTACAGTTACAGGCAGACCTAGACAGGCTAGCAAGTTGGGCAGATTGGAATCTGATAAAGTTCAGTGTCGAGAAATGTAAAGTGCTCCAGCTTGGGACGAGCAACCCCCAACACACCTACCAGCTTGGTGGCACCAAAATGACTAGCACCATGAATGAAATGGACTTGGGGGTAATAACAGACCACAGTATGAATATGAGCCGGCAGCCAGTAGGGCAAATAATACTCTGGCATGCATCAATTGATGCATCTCCAGCAAAACCAAGGAGGTGATTCTTCCACTCTACTCAGTACTGGTGAGACCACAGCTGGAGTACTGCATCCAGTTCTGGGTGCTGCACTTTAACAAGGACATGGAAAAGCTTGAGAGAGTCCAGAGAAGAGTCGCCCATATGATCAGAGTCTGACACAGCAAGCCATATGGGGAAAGGCTGAGGGATCTGGGACTCTTCTGCCTAAAGGAAAGAAGGCCGAGAGGGGACTTGGTAGCAGCTTACCACTACACTAGGGCTCGGTGAGCAGCTCTTCACCAGGGCACCCAAGGGGAAAACTAGGAGTAATGGCCACAAACTACTGGAAGACCGATCCAGGCTCAATGTTAGGAAAAACTTATTCGCAGTCAGGGTGTCCAGACTGTGGAATAAGCTCCCTCCAGAGGTGGTGCAATCACTTACCCTGGAAATCTTTAAGAGGAGACAGGACGGTCACCTCGCTGGTGTCACCTGACCCCAAATTCTCTTTCCTGCGTGGTGCAGTGGGCTGGAACCAATGATCTTCCAAGGTCCTTTCCAGCCTTACAGTTATGAAATCTTAGTCTCCTTCCCCCAGGGAGGAGTTTTACCAAGATCCAGTTGTGCTTACCTAGGATGTCTCCATACAGCTTCCTTTCCTTCTCAAGTTGTTTCTTCTGGCAGCTTTTAAAGCTCCCAGTAGGACACTCCCTTGTTAGCTGGAAGCCCCGCAGCCAGTCTGCCTTAATTGGGCTGCCAGACGCTTCTTACAGGGAACAGACCACCCTATTACAGTCCTAAAGCATTATTTATGCTGAGAATAAAAGTCCATGACCCCCCCTGCTGCCGCCAGTCCGGGTCCTGCTCTGCTCCCCCCAGTCACCATTTTGGGCAGTGTCCCACTCCTCAAGCCGCTCTGGGCCCAGCCCTGTTCCACCTCCCACTGCTCTGTGTGCAGGGGCAGGGTGCACGTGGATGCATGGGGAGTGGCATGGGGCTGCAGGGCATGGCATGAGGAGGGGTCACGGTGCAGGGAGTGCTCGGCGACTGCGTGGTGCAGGGAGCAGCCCCAAGGTGTGGTGCAGGGCACACTTTGGGGTGGGGGGGGTGCATGGCTGCACTGGGGCGCGTGGTGTACATAGCATGGTATGTGGCCACGGTGCAGGGAATGCCTGCTGGCTGTGGCCACATGGCTTGGGCAGCAGCCCCAGGGCGTGGCACAGGGACCTTGGTATGCGGCCATAGGGCATAGCGCAGGGAGTGTCCACGGCACGGGGAGTGCCTGCAGGCTGCTCCCACGGGGTGCAGGGAACAGCCCCAGGGTGTAGCACGGGGCACAGCATGGCACATGGGGGTGGCGTATGGCTTCAGGCAGTGGCATGCAGCCACCATGTGTGGCATGGGGAGCTGCCCTAGGGCGTAGCATGGCGAGGGGGTGGTGCACGGCTGCAGGGTGTGATGTGGGGAGTGCCTGCTGGCTGTGACCTCAGGGTGTGGCATGAGGCATGTGAAGGGAGGCAGGTGAAGGGAGTACCTGTCGGCTGCATAGTAGGGGGCACGGTGCAGGGTGCGCACAGGGAGTGTGCCCCGCCCCTTGGCTGCATGCTGCAGCTGGCGGGCACTCCTGCGCCGGCTTCCCACCCTGCCCCCCAGTCGCATGCTGCAGCCAGTAGGCTCTGTCCGTGCATCTGGCACCCTGTGGCCATGTGCAGTGCCCCCCCCACCATGTACTATGCCCCCACATGGCCCCGTGCAGTGCCCCCTCTGCAGGGCCACAGGCCACCCTCCCCTCACCTTCCCTTCCCCCTGTGTCGCAGAGCGCACCCTGGCCCCCACCGCCTCCGTCCATCTGTCTATCTGTCAGTAAGTCTCCAGGCCACGCACACGCAATTGGCCTGGAGCATTACAGATAGACAGACACAGCCGGAAGTGCCACGGCTTTTATTATATTAGAATACTATGTTAATCAGTCATGTGACCACTGGATTTTATTCATTTAGTAGTAAATTTTTTTAACCTGTCCAGAATCGGAGTTTCCTTCATTCCTAATGGCTAGTGATTTTTGATTAGAGCAATTCTCTAAATGCAAATAAGATAAACTCTACCAGTAATAGCACCTGTGTACTCCGCAAACACAGTACAGCTTAACAAGCATATTCTTTGTTTCTTGTTCCAGCATTGGTGGGGGGGGAAGATCCATCTGGCCTGTGGAGCTGGCTGGGTTTAGTTAATATTTTGCTAGAAAAAGCAAAGCAAAAAATGAGAAATGTTGGATTGATTTGTCTGGTTTGCTTTGCATCCAGGGAACATCTATCTCATTGGAAATGTAATATGAAATGTATCCTCAAACATCTGGCTCCCCTCCCATAATTGAACTAAATTATTTTATCAAATGGGCAATAAGCTATGGACTATTTTAACTTGCACTCAGTTGGCTGGAGATACCAGGTCTGTAGCCAGGCCTGAATATTTCATATGCCTAATGAATTATGACACTTAGGGGGAAAATACTGTCCCACACTAACGTAGTTGTGTCTGAGCATTTCATCATGGAAATCTGTTGTCCCTCATTTCTGTCACCTACTGATTTAATATTTTCCAATATCTTGCTGCTACTGTCTGAGGGTGATCAGAGGGCAATGGGGTTGATGGTATCTACTCACCTTTGGAAAGAAGGACCACACTTGTGGTTAAGGTATGGGACTGAGACATGACTTTTTAATTCCTAGGTATGACACTAAGTCCTTGAGAAAGTTACTTAACCTCTCTCTGCTCCAATTTCATACCTATAATACAGGAGTAATGAGCCTATTTCCATCCTTTTTGTTTTGTGCTCAAATTGTGAGCTTTGCAGAACAGGAACTCTCTCTGTTTGTACAACATGGCTTGATCTGGTCTGCAACCTGTAGGCTCTTAGATAACACACTTGAGAAGGAGTAGCAATTGGTACAAGTGTTTTGAGGCCTCTGGATTACAGCATTAGCTTTCTAAATGTGTAGTGGCACTTCTCACTACTACCGCAGCTCTCTGTGCTGTTCTAGTGCAGCAGTGCCCAGCCTTACAGCCCACACACTGAAAGAGTGGCGCGGGGTTGATTCACAGCTGGATCCTGTGGGCAGGGGTCAGTCTGTGGGCTGGATCAAACATGGGGTTGCCATGCAGAATTGGTTTGCAACCCCATGCGCTGGCCTAGCCCCATGCACCAGGTCTGGACACAGGGAGCATCTGTACATGCGTGTGCTATGGAGGGCACTTTAATTGGAGCAGCTCTGAGAGCCACTCTAATTAAAGCATCCACAGCATCATGTGTATTCAATTAATCGAGTATGCTCCAACGTGTTCTAATTAGCATGCATTGGAGCAAAGCTCCATCACATGTATAGATGCCCAAAGTGATCCATCACCCAAGACTGTCATTCAGTTGGCAGGGCTCTCTGCAAGGTCAGAAATTTGATGGTGGGGAAGCAGTGGCAGCGTTAACTGCTGGGGCTTAGAGGCCAAATTTCCAGACCTGTGAGGAGGCTCCCAGGCCAGAGGTTGAACAGTACTGTCCTAGGCAGCATTCATAGGGCGATCATGGCCATATCATTAATGCATATGATTGAAAGCTTTGCGTTATGACTTTGCTTTCTTGCAGTGCTGGATACAAATGACAGGTTCCTGAGGACAATCACTATCGGCCAGTCTCCAACAGAGAAAGGCTTCTCACGAACAGTAAGAGCTTCTTGCCCCTCAGGGTATTTAGTCCTTCAAAAAGCATGCAAGAGAAAACTGGTACCTAAATAAAAATTGTATATTTTTACCTCTCCAAGCACTTCCTTTCTACAGGTTTAACAAATGTGCCTTCTGCCTCCAGCCTATGAAAACAAAAGTAAGAAAATGTACAACACAGGGCACAGTTACATTTCACCCCCACTCCACCACATGTGGTCCCCCAAAATATTCTTCCCTGAATGTTTGGTTTAATGGAAGTCTGGGATGATAAGTATCATGGTAACAAACCATGTGGGTATATGTTCATTAAACACAGCAGTAATCCTTTAGAACAGCTCCCGACTCTCTTGCTGCTTATAGAAACTACTCAATTTTTCTTATACACTGCAGCATTCAGTAATACATCAATTGTTAAGTTTAAAAATGCAGAGTTTTTTAGTGGCATTAAACCTTATACTTTATTTCTTTTGATGGTAAATGATTTACGTGCTTGGAGAAATATGATTTCTTGCCATGCCAACAGAATAAATACATTTTTTTATTATATTGCAAAAAAAGAATCCTAATTCCACACTGAGTTTTAAATGAAAAGTACTCTGCTTTGTAGCACTAGAGACTTGTTTCTTTTTAGATAATGAAAGGTTACTTCCAAGAATTAAGTGCAGATAAAACTCCTGTTAGGAACCCTGATGGTTCTCTTTATTCTTCACTTTTGTGCTGGTCTTTTCCAGGCCCAGTTTGACATCACAGTGGCAAGTGAAATCATGGCAGTCTTAGCACTCACTGATGGGTTAGAGGATATGAGAAGACGACTGGGCAGAATGGTGGTAGCCTCTAGCAGGACAGGAGAGCCGGTTACTACGGATGATCTCGTAAGACTGCAGTTTAATTGCTACATATAGGCCTCTCACGTAAAGTAATATGAAGATGATTCCACATAGAAGGGATTGTAGGATGTTACAAATTAAGAATGAAATCCTGACCCCATTGAAATCAATTGGGGTTTGGCTTCATCAAGGCTGAGATTTCTTCTTGACAAAAATGTTCCTTTTGTTGTCTGAGCAGTTCTGTTTGCTATTTGAGTCTTACCGTAGATTTGGCATTTGCAGTCTCCCTGGCTAAAGCAGGCAGAAATCCATCCCAGGCAGAACTCTAGCTGACTGCAATGGGGCCTTGCTTGTACGAACTCAAGCCCTTCAAACATAGTACAGACAATGAAAAGGGTAGAGAAAGCCCAACAAACCTGGAAAGAAATGTCCAGAGACTTGAATGGTTGCAGCTTACTTATAGCTTACAAAGGATTTGGAAAGGTTGGAGGAATAATTAGAACCCTAAGGTTCTCTTGAAGTTCATAACACTAAAATGTCACAGATATAAATAATACTTTGCAGGTTTTCATTATTTTCTGCTGGAGATGTTGAAATTAAAATTGATCCATTAAATGCAATCTAAGCCTTCCCAGAGTAAGATTGAAACTCCAATTAAATGAAACAGTATATGTCACTTCTCCCCCCCACTTTAAATGATGGCTTGCTCTTCTTTTATACAGTTGAGTACTGCAATCTAGGGTAGATTTAAAATAGCTTCTTTGAAAAGGACTGGGTGTTTCAGGGGACTGATGATGACTCTTGGACTAGTTATTCAACCAGGGTGGTCGCAGTGTAGTTGTAAACATTCTGTTGTGGTCTCCGTTCTGTTCATCCTGGGCTGATGTCAATCAGTTACTGGTGGCATTCACTGATATCCTGGTTAGTGTGCTCAGCATAGAGTATGAGGATGGGGTCACTGCATCTCCTTTTGCAAGGATCTGTACTGAGGCAGGTGGATGGAGATGCATGAGAAAGGCTTAAGCTATAGCTTTCCATGCTGAACCTGTTCTGAGAATACGTTGAAGACTTCTTCTCTTCCTCCCCTGAGCTGGATCTGGCACTGCTCATAAACACAGGAATCTGCTCCAAGTTGTTTCAGCAAGAGACCTGGCTGGTGTGCAGCAGGTGTAGGATGAGTTCTTAGACCAAGCATCTACAAATCTGGATACAGAAATGGAAGGAAGAAAAACCTGCTGAAGACACTAAGATTTTTTTTTTCAAATTCTTAAAATAGAATTAAACACTATAAGTGAAAGGAAATAAATGGTGCAGTTAAGAGAGAAAATGGGGGTGCTAACACAGTACATCCTTTGTTCATGGGTAGCTTGCTTTTTCTGAAATGACTACCAGCAGCCTGTTTCATGACCAGAGCATGGAGCACCCATTCCTGCCTGAATGGGTCATTAAACAGGTACAAAGTGTTGAATCCATTTGTATGTGTGTGTGTTGCCAGGTGATTTCACCCTGGACATCATTTTCTCACATACAAGATGCCTCCAAATAAACCACACACCTTGTTTTTCAAAGATAGAATATAGGAAAATAATTTTTCCACGGCCAACTATGTGACGCAGTAAGTTTTCCTGGGAACATAGACTGTCCTAGACGTGTAGCATCAGGAACTTCCTGGTGTGCCAGACTGTCTCCTGCATTGCCACTCTTCCTGGATGCTTTGTGTTCCCGGGAGGACTTAGACTGCCACACAAAGTTAGACGCCAGACCCTTGCAAATGTGGTAGCAAGACTGCTCATTAGTTTTTTTCCTGTAGGTGGTTCTTTATAAAAGTTCCTGTAAATAAAATGTTGCTTCCACATCACAAGCCTCATTAAGATGCTACCAGCAGCTCACTTGAGCACAAGCTACAGTGCTCAGCCAATAACTTCACTATGAGAGGATTGAACAAGACTCCATCCCTGCAGTTTGCTGAGCAGATGTAAATGGCAGCTGTCTGAGTAGCTGCATGGCACACTGTGTCTCTAGGAGTGCTGCTTTTCCAGCAGAGAAAACAGCTTCTCCACTTAAAACACACACCTCAATTTTGGGGGGAGAAAGGTATATGTTGTGTGTGAGAAAATATAAAATTCTGTCTTGTTCTTGATTTTAGTGTATACAACACTAAGTGCTGTTCACTCTTGTTCTTTGAAAGATCCCTACGACAAAGTCCCTGGGCATTGTTGAGGCAATTCCAAGTTATAGTCATGCACTCGCCAGATCTGGGGAATGAATTGTTCTCTTTTCTTCCCTTAGGGCGTGACTGGGGCTCTGACAGTGTTAATGAAAGATGCAATTAAACCAAACCTCATGCAGACATTGGAAGTGAGTACTGACTACTTTTTGTTTTCCAGGCTGGCCAGTTTTTCCCAAGTTTGGATTGTGGAGCTCATGTTATGCTTGCTGAAATGGGTCAGCGGGTCTGCCTGTTCTTTCAGGATGCAAAATACATCATTTTTTAGGGGGGGGGGTGTTGTTTCTAGAGGGTGTCCCCCCCCACACCCCGCCTTGGTACAGTGACAGGGTGGCTATCCCCTGTATGCTGCACAGTTACAGGAAGTAACTCCCACACCAGTGGCACAGCAGGCTTTCCTTTCTCCCCAGTTTCTGCTCACTGGAGAACTTCTCTTCTTTTGTCCTACCCTCCGTTAGCACCAGCTTCTTCAGCAGCGTGTTGATAACCCCGACTACAGTTTGGACAGGGGGTCTTGGGTCCCTCATCCGCCTGCTCCCTCCCAATCTGAATCCCTCCTAGCTGTCACAGTGCAGCTAAGGTGCAGGCAGGAGGGGAGGGCTAGGGAAGGGGAGCTTCCTTCTCTCCCAGCCTCTGGGGAGCATAGTGCCCTACAACTCCCTGCCTTTTCAGCTGATGCAGGGAAGGAAGCAGATAGGAGAGGCTAGCTCCTTACATCAGTAAGTGGAACATAGTGTGATATGGATATTTCCTTCTCTCTTGCCTACCCACTAGTGTTTTTTTCATGCTATCCCCTGCCAGCAGTTTCCAATTTTAAGTTAGCAGCTGAACATCTGGGCAAGGAGGATTCCCTTGAAAGCCAGTCATCAGGGCTTCTGAACATTGCTCAGAATATATCATTCCCTCATCAGTCCCCTCCTTCCCCCCTCTCCCCCCCACCTCTCAGTACACACATGTTCCCAGCCAAGACTGCTGACATTCTCTGCAGAGAAAAAGCAAACAAAACATAATTTAAGGGTTCCACTTGGAGTAACACCATTGACTGACTGAAGGACAGCACCTTCCCCCACAGTGTCTCCGTGTTGCTATCTCTCATAGCGGGAGGATATAAAGTTTGTGGAATTTTCTGAGAGCCTCAGATGGAAATGGCTGCCCTACAAGTGTGAAGCATTGCTATGATTTAGTCATCTCTTCCCTGTGAGGATTAATATCTCCACTTCTTCAGATTATAATAATCCTATTTGCCTTGCATTCTTATTACTGACAATGATCCTTTGATCAGAAGGCTTTAACAGCTGGTCTCTACTCTGAGCAGGCTCTCATCCTCTAATGCAGTACTTAAGCTTAAGATCACTCTGGAAGATGTTGAATTCCCCCCGTTTGTTTTTTTTTCCCCCTTTGTTCACTCTCTTTCAGGGGACTCCAGTGTTTGTTCATGCTGGGCCTTTTGCCAACATTGCACATGGCAACTCATCAGTGCTGGCAGATAAAATTGCCCTGAAGCTCGTGGGTCAGGAAGGCTTTGTCGGTAAGTTTATAACTTTGCTGTCTCTCTTTTTGGAAAAGAGACTTCCGTTCACGGGGAGAGCACCAGCTTCTTGGCTCAGTGCTTTAATGAGCGTCCCTTCATTTTGTCTACACTACAGTAACAGAAGCAGGATTCGGAGCGGACATCGGCATGGAGAAGTTTTTTAACATTAAGTGTCGCTATTCTGGCCTCCAGCCTCACGTGGTTGTGTTGGTTGCCACAGTGCGAGCTCTGAAAATGCACGGAGGAGGGCCCACTGTAAGTACCGTTCTGGGCTGTGTGCAGGCCAGGGAACAATGCAGTTGTTACAGGCAAATCACTTTGAAGTCCAGCATAAAAGTAGGAGCTTGTCTTTACAGAACAGTGAAGTTAGTGCAGAGTACATTCACCCCCTAACTGCTACCCATTAACTCTCTGTGTGGACACTTTTGGTGTGAGGCAGCTTACTTAAAAATCAATTCCCTAACTGAGGAATTAATGTGGTGTATTCAATTGCCTGCAAAAGATGCCCCCTGGTTTATGTCACTAACTTTCTGGTGTAGCGAGGTCTAGAGGTAGAAAGTTAAAATGAAATCCACTTCCCACCTCTGAAATCCACCTTGACCCCACTGAAGACAATGGCAAAACTCCACTTGAGCAGAGCCAGGGGTCTGTCTCAGTAGGCATGTTCATCCTAATATATTTGTATCCCACTCTCACATGCTTCCTTTTTGTCAAGCACTTATTGGTCCAGTAGAGCACAGCTGCCTGCCAGGATCCTGAATGGAAAGGCTGCTTAAACAGTTAGGGCCCTCTGAGATACCTGGCAAATAGCAATGAAAGGGACCTTTCATCAGACTTTTCTTGGCCATTCCATAAAACCTAGAGCAGGGGGCTGCACTAGATGCCCTCATGGGGTCCCTCCCAGCCCTGCTTCCCTGCTGTCCTTGGTGAAGAAGCTTTGGTTCTCTCTGGTGTCCCTAGGTCTGTTACACTATATGGTTTGCCCATACAATTTTTATCAACACTGCCCAATAATGATACATTGAATGTTTTTTCATGTGCTGTGAATACACAGCCTCCACTCCAGAGAGCTCTCGATGCAGATGTCTCTTTGGAACTGTAAACTACCACTTGCACTGGGAGTAAATCCAGAATTTTGCAAATCACAGCCCCTTCCTTGGTTGGTCCCTTTTTCCCTTCTACTTCTCCTGGTCCTCTGCCCCATATTGTCATCATCGTTGTGTCCCCTCCCCCCCGGCCCCCACCTCTCCATCCTACAGCAGTAACACCCCTTTTCATCCTTTGTTCTGGGTTTTTTTTTTCTCTTCCCACCCTGCCCCTCACTCTTCGCAGGTCTGAGATGCTAAAATGGCTGTGACCAAAATGTGAGTTTGCTATAATTTATAATGCCTGGAGCGTAGAGCCCCGTGTCCTCATATTAAGTTCTTCTCTATGCTTCTGGCTGCTCTCCTGACCATCTGAAGCATGTACAATTTTATGTTGAGCCCTTCAGTTCTAAAAGGTATTAAAGTACTTGGCAGCCACCGGGGACACATTATGTAGTGCATTACAGATGTATAGAGCACTTATTTATCATTCTAATGAAATCTCTCTCTGCTGGGATTTTTCCATTGTCTGTGATCTGTCCTTGTGTCTGTAACAATTGCTTTTCATTTCTTCTTTTTTTGAAGAAGAAGATGATCTCCAGGATAGAGTCCAGCACTAAAACTTGAAATACTGCATGCCCCCATGTGAATTGCTATCCTAAAAGAGTCTTGTTTTTTTTTTTAGGTCACTGCTGGAGTGCCTTTACCAAAGGAGTACACTGAAGAGGTAGCCCTGATTGTTACTTAGCCAGTGGTTATCACCACCTAACAAGCTGTTTTTGTTGCAGGACATTGTCATGTGGACATTGTCATACTCATCATCTAGTCAAGCATAATTTCTTCAGCTGCCAGAGAAGAGCTTCCAAGCATTAGTTGTAATGTTTCATTTTCATAATGACACATTGGCTCCACACTTGCTAGCGGTCATCATCATTGACCCAGTCTGTATTCGGAGCCTTTGGTTTCTCCTCTGCTTATGTAATTGTTCACATGCGCACTTGTTCATGGTAATATCCATTCTGCTGCCTATGACCCACTCTGTACTGTGGCTGCCTAGGGAGTTGTTGAAATACTGTCCCTTAAAACATTCAACGCATCTCTCTAATTACTCCTTTCACAGATGTTTGTTAGCATCACAAATTAGTTATTCACAAGACCAAGAGGAAAATAAGTTAGAGCTGTGACTTTAACCACTCTCTTGCCAGGCGTGCATTTGTACATTTGGGTAATTATCATGACTTTCTAGTATTATTGCAGCTGGCTTCTGTGCCTGTGCAAATTTTCTGTGATTTCCCTTCTGGGTTGTGATGGATAGTGTTCAGCATCCCTTGCTGCTAATCCATGAGCTTGCAAAATACAAGTGTGTATAAAACCAAAGCGATCACCATCAACTTCAAACAAGAGCCACAAAATTCAGGATTAACAGTGATCAGTACTTCCAAGGAGTGTGTCATGAGGAAATATGATCCATGTTACAGGGGTGTAGGTTGTAGCCATGTTGGTCTAAGGACATAGGCAGACAAGGTTCTTTGGGTGAATCTGATATCTTTTATTAGACCAACTTCAATAGTTGAAAAATAATTGTTAGCAAGATTTTGGGTTTAAAAACCCTTTATCAGGCTAAGGAAGACTGCAGTTGGTGACAATGCATGGGACATGCACTGTTCCCTACAATATGTATCCTTTCTCATTGCTTTCTTTGCAGAATCTCCAGCTCTTGGCGAATGGTTGTAGTAACCTAAGCAAACAAATCCAAAACGCCCATATTTTTGGCATTCCAGTAGTCGTGGCTGTCAATGTATTCAAGTAAGTGGGCTGGGCTTTGGAGCCATGCCATAAGTGTGCAGTGCTAGCATGCTGCAATACACTGTCTCCCTGTTATCTGGACCTTCTCGTACTAGCGCTCTTGAGGTATACATTGCTACAAAACAGCATCTTGCATTGTTCCAAGGTGACTGATAAATAGGAAAAGCTCCTTGTTCACTCAGGTAAATTCTTTCCTCAACTGACTTTTGACCTTGATTTTTAAAGCAGGTTCATTGACTACTGATCTCCTATTTTCATCCTTATTAGACAGATGATTCTGAAAGGAAGATGCCTACAGTACCTTGAATCCAGGTACATGATAGACTGTGAGTATTTCCATACTGCAGGCTGCAGTGTAAGGTAGAGAGAACTGAGGCAGCTTTAAACGAATGTGCTAGCTCACAGTAGAAGCAGTTTAGCTATGGCAGCACAGGATCATTTGCCCTGGTGAGATGCAATGATCCTGATTTTCTCTGATTAAAAAAATTCCAAATTCTCTAATTAAAAACCCCAAATCCATGTTGTTCTGTGATTAAAATGAAGCACCACTATATATATATAGGTATCAGTTGAATGTAATGTTTTATGGATATATTTACAATGTTAAAGCAATCTGGAAGCCTACCAGTGCCTCAGTCATTATAACAAAATTCTAAATACCTATCTATATATTTTGGCATTTGATTTTGTTTTTTTTATCATGGAAGATCAGAGCTCCCCCTGCCCCCTTTGCTCACCAGGACATGAGTCCAGCTGCGGCTGTCCCTCCTGCTGCTTTGTAGCACTGAGCAGCCCTGGCATGCTGGTTCCCTGCCCATGCTGCTGTCCCTCACTCCCAAGCCACTGCCCCCCACCCCAGCCATGATAGTGCTCCTCACTCTCAACCTGCAGCCCCCCCCAGCCCTGTGAGAGGGGGCTCCAGCTGCCTGCCACCCCAGCTGGCCCTATACAGACTCAGGGCTCCAGCAGGGAAAGGGGGCAGGGTCCTTCAGGGTCAGCAGAGAGCTGCATGGCTGGGCCACTGCAGCCAAGAGATGTTCCAGGGGCGGGTGGACACGGGACTGTGGTTAGGCTGCCTGGCATGGCATGGGAGCCCCAGCCCAGGGCAGGGTGGGGTAGTAGTACTGGCATCCCCTCCTACCTCCAGCCCATGCCAGGGCTGAACTCGCTCCACTGCTGCCTGCACAAGTAGGAGCCACTGCAGCTGCTGCAGGTGAGACTGAAACCACCTGGAGCCCCTCACCCTTCTCCAGTGCACCCCCCACCCCATCTCATAGACTTACCTGTATCCAGCTGCTGAGGCTGCTCCCACCACCCTGTCTGGCTGTATTGCCAGACGTGTGTGTTTGCACGCACACATGTGGTGCCTGGCCCCTGCCTCCAGTCCCCCAGCCCCAAGCAGTTCCTTGCAGGCTGGAACCCTGCCAGCTTGCAAGGGGAAGAACCTATGGTTTCCTGTTTCAAAGGGGAAAATCCATGTTTTTCTCCTTTAAAAGGGAAAATCTATGTTTTTCCACAGGAAATGGAAAACCTGGATCCCTGGTGACAAGTACTTAAAAGCTGACTCAGGTCTCTCTTTGCATTGTAACCTGCAGTGTGGATGTACCCTGTATGTTGAGCCTTTTATACAAGCAGCATTGCTTTAGACTGGTATTAAACAGATCCCAGTTGAAGTCATGGCTAGTCTGAAGCAGAGTACCCAGCTAGGGTTTCTTTTCCCTGCACCAGGAGTGTCAAATATAAAACCTGTGGGCCAAATCCTGTCTGCTGGGGTTTTTGCCATGGCTGCAGCAGCCAAAGAGTTAACACTGCTGCCATGGGGTTTCGACAGCACTGGCATTAACTCCTTTGCTGTTGGTGCCCACACAGTGGCATCAGCAGCCTGCATGAGAAGCCCTGCAATCCAGATCTGGCCCATCAAATCATTTTCGTTTGACCCCCCTGCTTTCAGTGAACAGCATCTGGTCTGAAGCACAATACCATTTTAGTTCCCGAGTAACGTGCATTATATACAGCCCCTCTTAGCATCCTATGGATCCCATTTGTGTTGGCCTTTCTTGCATAAAGCCAGATGCTTCCTAGCACAAAAATTGTGCTGCTGACCTTGATACAAGGCTGAAGAGCTGAAATTACAGGATGCTGCTGTGTCAGACAAAGATTATTATATACATAGCAGCAGCCGTGGATGTAGCTGTGGGCTGGTTTCTTTAATGAGGGTGGTGGAAGCCTACGAAGTGCAGGAACAATAAGAAAATCTCTCCTGATGGTTACAGAAGCTTTGAGGGTGTCTTTGTTTGGCATTAGATCTTGTTTTGGGAAAGGTGATTTCACTGTACAAGGAAACAGCAGATGGCTTGAGTAGTGGTACAAGTAAACCCACTCTCATCTTTACAGAACTGATACAGAGGCGGAGCTGGACCTGGTCACTCAAATGGCGAAGGAGGCAGGGGCATTTGATGCTGTGAAATGCACACACTGGGCAGACGGGGGGAAAGGAGCCCTTGCACTGGCCCGTGCAGTCCAGAGAGCATCGCAGACACCAAACCATTTCAAGCTCCTCTACAATGTAGAGGTGAGACCATGAACTGACCTACCCAGTCTGTTGATGGGAATCTGGATTTCACTTTAACTCAAGAAAATGTTTAAGTGTGTTGCTGATTCAAATCACCCACATGCCTTGTAGTCTGTGAGATGGCCTGAAAAGGCCCTGGGCACTTCGCAGGGATTAACATGATTGATTTGATCAGAAAATCTAACTTTTGTTGTAGGACAGGAGCGGGAAGGAGAAAAATCCTGGGTTCTAGATAATCCTTTCGGCCCCACCAAGTAATTTCTAAAGCGTTTTTGATTACTGAGTGGAGCTTGTTTGCTGTTATCCTTGAAAGACTGTGCCATAACTGGTACAGAGAGGGGTAATGCATGCTTAATGTGAGCGGCCAGTTGGAGCAGGGGAGTTGTTCCTCAGTGAGTCCCAAGTTGTGCGTTGAAATGAACTGACCTGGAAGGACAAAGCAACCCTTGTCTTCAGGTCAAACTGAGACCCTTTCAGGACTTCAGGATGTGTCTGCTCAGGGTGGGGCATTATTCAGTGAAATCCACATACCCAGCCAGAACAGGATGTAATCTCTTTTTTTCCTGTGTTCAAGGACAAATATGATTTTAACTTTTATTATTTTCTCTTTAGCCATCAAAGTACATTAGTTGGATACCCGTTTAATGCCTTGGGTAGTATTGTTATTGCCTGGACTATTGTGGCTACAATGCAAGAAGCAGGGTTTAGCGACATCATTTATTGAACCAACTCTAATGCCCAGAGGAAGGACATTTTTTGCCTGAAAGCATATCTGACATCTCTTCCAAATATACAGATGGTTCAATAAAAGAGGATAAGTTTAGAACTGTGTTTTCCAAATTTGTATAATCTGGTGGTCCACTGAAAAGAGCACAACTAACTGGAAACAGAGTTTGAAAATTGAGTTGATGGCTGTTTCAAGTAACTCTTGGATTGCATAGACCTATTGAGCTCCTGTTGTTCAGCCTCCATTCATACCTTCCCCACTTCAGAGTTGCTCTCTAAAGAACCTTGACATCTCCATGTCCTGCGAGTTTTCTTTAACCCTTTATTTCCCTCCCCCACCCTTGATGCTCAAATTGCAGCTATTTGACTTGCTAGTCAAGGGGAACCCTGCAAAGCAAGTTTACATCCAAATTATGCTAAATTTCTGCATGTCCATGTATCATGGGGAACAGAAGGAAAGAAGGAAAGAAAGTGGAGGGTTCTGCAGAGTGTAATTGCACACGTTGTAGAGACTTATCCCAGGAGCCATGCATGTGGGTAATTACCCATTCAGTGCACAGATTGTTACCTCTCCTTGTAGCGATGTCACACTGAGACTGCCTTTTCATAGTCTCAGGGAAGACAGTTGTCTATTTAAGCCTTAGGGTCTTTGCTTGGTTCTGGACCCACGCCTTCTAGGGACGAGAGTGCAGCTGAGTCCACAGATGCCCTCTTTGTAATTTTATAAGTAGGGAAGCATCTTGCCAATGCTAAATCCCCAGTCTCCTTAACCATCCATAGGTCTGGAAGTCAAAATTTTTCGAGGGAAAGTACTAATTTTTTGGACAGTCCAGATTACCTGCCTCATGGAAATTGAGGTCCCCTAGGATGTCTTTTGAGGAGGGCACTCAAAATTGTCAGTGATTAGCATGTCAGCTAAGACCTCAGAAAATGATTATTTTCATAAATGCTCCAGTGCCAGATATGCATGATCGTTCTCCAGTGATTCAGTTACAGCAGTTGTAGTCTAGGAGCTTGGCTTAGAGAGACAAACAACTTCTCCAGAAGTCTTCTAGCTAGCATCAAATCCTTAACCAGATGGTAATGTCTTGAGCACTTCCTCTGTAGCAGATACCTAAAGGACATAATGAGGCGCTCATTTGTATTTCTATTAATGCAATCTCCTTAACAGGAGCTCTTGGGTTTTTTTCTTAGCTTCTGTGATTTGCTCTCCCTCCTCCCTTTAACTATGAAGCTACCTTCCATCAAGAAACACTTCTAACATTTTCAAAAAATGAACTTTGTATGTGTTTTGCAGTAGCTTATTGTATAGCTAATTGTGCAAATGTAGCTTAAAAGCAGTAGGAGCCCACCTTTTTGGCAGGAGTGCCACTCTGAGCACTTTGCCCTGCCCCCCCTGCTGTCCTGTTTCCTGCCCTATTTCTACTTTGCTGCCTGCCCACACCCTGATCTGTTGTGCCACACAGAGGCTGCCCGTGCCACTTGTGGCACACGTGCTGAAGGTTGGCCACTCCTGGCTTAACATGCATTTTCTTGTTCCCGATTTACCCTACTGTCTGTTCTTCTCATATCAAAAGAAACAGCTGTAATGTGATGAATAAAACCTTGGATTATTGTGTAGCTTTGTAGTACTGCACATGGAAGCAGCTTAAATAGCTGCAGATTGAACGTCACACAGCATGCATGGAGAGCTGTAGATATAGCTGTGCTGACTTGTTTTTTTTCCTACAGCTCCCTGTTATGGATAAGATCAGAATCATTGCACAGCAGATATATGGGGCAGATGACATTGAGCTCTCTCCAGAAGCAGAGCAGAAAATTATCCTATACACGAAGCAGGTGAGTAATACAGGTTAGTTGATGTCCAGTATCAACTCCAATTAAAACATCCAAGGTAAACTGTGCTCTTCTAGAACATGAAATGTGTGTAACGTGGCTGTTGAATGGGCCTTCAAACTGGAGCTGCTGAGTGCAGCTACTTTGAGAAGAGGGTGGTGGAAAGCCAAGAGGATCCTGGGGTCTAATCCTGAGCTTAACATGATCTTCCCTGGTTAAAGGGGTCACCTCACTTCCCCTTCTGTAACACAGTGTCTGTGATAATTGTCTTTCTGTTGTGGTAGGCTGTGAGAGCTAATGTACATCTGTAAAGGGCTTTGAACATGAGAGCTGGGCACCTGCTTGCTGTTCTTTGTGTATAGTATGTGTTGACTACTTTCTGTTGGAGAACCATCCTTTTTCTAATATGTATGGTTACTTCCTTTTTATATTCATTGCATATCCCTTTATATTTTAGCGAACTTTCACATCCAGCTTGGTAATTACTGTGCTGTCATAACCTGCAATTATATTGATCAAATAATCTAAATTGAAGAGCAACCTCAGTTGGGCTGAGAACTTTAATTTTGAGCTGTTAGGATCAAAATTAACTTAACAGAGAGGAAATGCAACCCTTGGCTGCATATCCGATGCCAGCAAAAGCATTAACTTCATATCTGATTGGATCTGGGGATGGCAATGTTTATTTTTCCCCTTAGTAACAGTAGAAAGATGGAAAGAGGAATGTAGAAATGATTGACAGATCTGACAGATTGCAGGCAGAGTGGTTAGCAAGGTGAGATAGCCCGTTAATTCAAACAAGAGCAGAGTCAAGTAAATGCAGTTATTACAGTTACATGGATGAAAGTTTCCTGATGCACTTTAATGTTTTTGTTTTCTCCCTGCTCCTATCACCCAGGGATTTGGAAACCTGCCAATATGCATGGCTAAAACTCACCTGTCATTGTCTCATGACCCGGAAAGAAAAGGAGTGCCTAAGGGCTTTGTTCTGCCCATCCGAGACATCAGGGCCAGTGTAGGTGCTGGATTCCTGTATCCACTGGTTGGTACGGTAAGTGGCATATGGAAAAACTTGGCTGCAGAAAGGAAAAGAGATTGGAGAAATTTCATGTAATTCCCATGTGTGGTTAAATCAGGTAAATCAGGTTGCATGACAGAACTCAGTCACTTGCAGGTTTAGAAATCTAGTGCCAGTCCAATGTCCTAGGTGCCCTAGACCAGCTTTTGAAAAATACACTACTTCCTACAGATCAGTTCTAATGCTTAGCTATAATATAAGTGTGACCAGTCTTGCTTGCAGTCCCTGCTCGTCATACATGGCCATGCTCATGGAACAACATGCTGGGGCCTTGCAGTGAGCCCTGGAGCTAACAAAATGGATGTTGCAAATATGAAAAAGATGTGAGAACTGAAGGCCTGGGGCACTTGTACTGGGAAACTCCCTGCTACCTACACTACCTCTTTTTACGTTGGAGGAGTTAAGTAATCTAAATATCATGTCCTATACAATTACTGTGATTCCCACTGGTATAACACTAGTCACATTTTGGTGCAGCATAACCTGTCCAGACTAATTGAGTCTGTTTAGTGTCGTGTATGAAACACACATGACACACTATTGGATTTGGGTTACTTTTTCTGGCGATTGGAATGAAGGAATCTTAATTACAGTAAAGACCACCATGGCCTTAAACGAGCTGCGAAACATCCCTGGGCCCTGGCATCCTGTTTGCAAAATACAGATAATACTTAGCTCACAAGGCTGTTTCAGAGTTTAGAGTCTCCAACTGTGAAACTGAAACACTTTGAAATGATCTAATTAAAGACTCTGCAACTGCAGGATACTGCTTTAAATAAACTACCCAAGATTTAGTGTTCTGAATCAAATGTTGGCTGTGCTCTTGACATCAGTACAGCTTTTGATATTAAGAAGCAAAACAAAACAAATGTGGTAGGTATTTGCAATGCAGAATGAGATAATGAAAAGGCTATCCCCATTGTCTGAGTAAAAGATTAAATCAATTGGGAAAGATCATAAACCTTTGATCAGAAGCCTTTTTAATGGGGAAATGGAAGGGCTACAATAGGAGTTGAGCAATGTCCCTTTTAAGGAATACCAGGGTGTGTATTTCATTTGATCTTTACTGTAAAGAGTTGTCAGACAGAAATAGGAAAAATCTTTTTAGCATCTCCATTCAATTTTGACCTGTTATTGCAGTTTTAAGTATATGGGAGTCCTGATGTGTAGCAAACAACTCATTGCTGTTTACCAAGAACCATACAACCTTTAAAAACAAGAGAAAAGGGAAAAGGTGAGTTTGGTCATTCACATCCAGGGTTGATTCATCAAGGAGGAAGATCACTGACAGAGCAGGACTGTGGATGCCAGTATTGATGAAGTTTTCTCTCCCTCTAGAGATATATTCAAAATTTGCCTGAGTCAGACAGAAAATGAATGTTCTTTATCTGCCATTTGTCCACATTACCAAACCACAAAGCAATTTGGAAGAGCGGGGAAGAGCAGCACTAGAATAGCTAGGTAAAAACTGATCAGATCAGCACAAAACTGAATTGGAAGAGCATTACTGGAAAAATTTACTTTGTGCTTGCCCGTGCTGGTTTAAGTAGTTTGTTGCTATCACTCTTGAGTCCACAGTTTCCAGTTGTGTAACTAGTCATGGGAAAAGGCCATGATCTTTGGGCACTCTCTAAGTGGGGGCACTGGATCAGAGGCCAGGGGGGCTCAAGACTTCGGCAGCTATGGCTTCTGGCAGCACAGAGCAGAAAGAAGTAGCCAGGATTGCACGTGCACACCTTGGGGGGGAGGTGCATATATGCGATGTGTGTCTGTATATACCTGTGCCTATACTCTGTGGCTGCTGCATCCTTGCCCGTAGAGCCTGGAGCCCCCTGCCTCTGTTCCAACACCCCCCTGCCAAGTACACTTCTGCTGCCCAGGGTGCCAAAAATACTTGTTATGCCTCTATGAGGGTTTCATTCTCTAAATGTTGTTGCAGGGCTCTTGTATTGCTTTTTGAAGCATGAATTAAAAGAAGCATTCAGTTACACAGTGACCCAGGCAGTTCTGTACTCATCGTGACTAATCAGCTATGTTTACTCTTTTTTTGTGCATGTTTTTAAAATCATTCGTTTTAATTTTTTAAGATTTCCTGATACAAACCAAATCCAGGTACAGTGAACTGATTATGACTCAAACCCACAGATCTAGCATGCCAGTCGTAGTAATATTTCATAGCAGGGCAGGGAGGAAGTGTTAGGTTAAACAAGAACAAACAGTAGACGAAGTTAATGAAAACACTTGAAGTTAATGAAAACACTTGCAAGTGAGTTTCCCTTGTATCCTATGCCATTGCTCATCACTCCCCCAGCAGCACAGGGATTCACCCCTGATGAGTATTCACTGAATCCTTCATGGTGCAGACATGCTCGACAACTCCATTCCTAGAGTGGCTTGTAGGTTATTGGTCCCCAGTGGCATCATCGCGTCTCACAGATGCGGAAAGTGTTCACGCTGCATGGGCAAAGTTAAATCGGGCAGCGTGCTCAGGCTTGAATTCCAATGAACCCATTAAGCTAGCTGTAGTCACTTCTTCCAAATTGCCTGTCTGGTTTGCACAGAGGAAAAAAGGGAAAAGAAAATGCAGTAATAAAAGCTGCACAGAAGTGGCACAACAATGTCACTGGCTGGCATGGATGCCCATCTTTCTGGAAATACAGTTAAAACCCCAGCCTGTCATGAATTAAATTGGGCTTACAAAGTATTTCATAGTCTCCCCCGTTAGCCACTGGTTTGAAATGATGCTTGGCAGAGAAGTCTGCAGATCATGGCTACAGTATAAAGGTGTGCTCTCAGAAGAGATGGTGCAGGACGTCTCTGAAGATGATAGAGTATAGCTATATTTCTTGAGGGCGCAGATGTAGCTTATACGCAGGATTTGGCAGCGATCAGTAGCTATTGTAAAAATAGCTAATCAACTGTTAACAGAATGCAACAGATCTGTAGATTCCTTATGACCAACTATAGTATTTTGCCTGTTTGTTGTGTTGATATGTTCTGTTGGGTATAGGCACCCATAATTTACCATGAAGGCAGCTGCAGGCCAGATTTGCAGTGCAACAGCTGCTCTGCAGTAAATGCTTGTGGGCACTCTTAGCCAGTGGTTAGTGTAAGATAGTGTATCCCACAGTCAGTGAAGGGTGAACTATCTGGCACCTATTACAGGTTAAGAGTGGAACAATAAACTAACACACTGGTTCACTCCCTAGCGTGTCCTATGGTAAACTTGTGCCATTCCTATAATGCATCCTGTATGCACCCTGAATCTTAAATGTGACAAAAAGAAAAATACCAGCCACAAATGTGGGTAATAGTGTGTTTACACAGGACGAGTTACTGGTATCATGGGCAAGCTAGGGTGTAATTTAGTGCATCAGCTGCTTCACAGTAACAGCCCACGTGCATGCTTTTCTCCCATGGTAAGTAAACAGTAGCTTGCTCCTCAATGAAAGTGGAGTGAGCCACCTTGAGTTTACACCTGGCTAAAATCATGCATCCAGGTAGTTGTTGCAGAGTAGCTAACTCTCCAAATCCATGCTAAAGCTAATCTTGCTGTAACTTGTGTACAGTATGTAGTCATACCCTTAATGGAGTTCCGGGTAATGAAGACAGACAAAACCTGAACAAAATAACAGTTTTAGGGTTTGTCTTCCCAGGAATCAGTAATGAACTGTACTTAATACATATTGAAGTGACCTGTGTCCCCTCAACTTAGAGAAGAAAGTAACTACAAAGGAAACAACAAAAATTAAGTGCAAATGTTAAAGGATTGCCACCCTAAATTGTTGAAACAAACAGC